GCCAAAATCAGAAGCCAGAAAGGAAAAGCTTAACAACTCTGACTACATGAAATTACGCAACACTGAATGAAATAAAACACAAGAAAAAAAAAGATTGTGAACAAAGATGGAAAAAAAAGCAACAACTTGAGGGATTATTTGTAATATTTGACAAAGGCATCACTTCCTTACTGTACAAAAGTCAAAAAGAGGGGAAAGTACAAATGATGCATAAAATTGCATATTAAAAGATTTTTTCTAAATTAACAAAGAGATCAGTCTATAATTTCTGACCTGTCAAATCAGCCAAAGTTAAAAGTTGGATGGTGACAGCAGTGGTGTGGGAGAAGACATAAGTACAGTTTGGAAGCACAAACTGACACAATGTTTCTGAATTTCCTAATAGTGATCAAATTTTAAATTTGTATATCCCATTGCTAGAACTTTCCCCTGCAGAGACTCCTGAGGATCAACAGGATGACAAACAGGCCAACTGCAGTACTGGAGGCCAACACAAAAGCCCAGGCACAACGAGTGTCCTTGAGGGAAGAACAGGTTAACAAGTGATGGCATGTTCATAAGATGGACTAGTATGAGTTTTGGGAAGAGGGAGGAAGCTGGGTGGAGCCGAGGGGAAAGATCACTTTCATCTCGTATCTATATGTACTCTTGGAATCCATCTACCACTTTAATTTTTTTTTTAATGCTTTTGGGGTGGCAGATTTATGGGCCACTTTTGGTTAAAAGAATTTTTAAGTTAATTGAAGCAGCCCGTCTACAGGACTGAGCTTTGGAGGAGTTAAGCTAAATGATATAGCACTGTAAACCGAGTAGTAGCTATCAAAATAAAAAATACATATGCCCTTCTCTGCTCTAGCAATTCCACTGCTAAGGATTTACCTCACCATAAATGTAGAGAAACAAAAGGACACTTACTTACTCCAGAGCTGCTGGCAACAGCAAAAATTAGAAAACACCTAAAAGCACATATGCAGACTAGTTACATAAGTCATGGTACATCCGTGAGACGGAATTCTCTGCAGTGGCCTTAATGAGGCAGATCTCTATGTGCAGTACAGAAAGGTGCCCACAGCAGACTAATGAGTGAAAAGGCACAATACAAGGCACATGGTCTCCATTTGTGTACATATTTGAAAAGACAAACACATATAATCCCTGGAAGGAAGCTTAAGTATTCATAGCAGTTATATCTGGCTGTGCTTCTGACTGTGCAACTGTGACTTAGGAAATAATTAAAAGAAAAGACTGATATAATCAGCTGAATTCTTTATAAGAACAGGAAAGGCTGTATTTGCTACTTTGTTTACTTCCTTATTCATCCCTCAAGAATGGACTGTTGGGGAAGTTTGAAAAAAGAGGAGATGAAGGACCTTGGAGAGCCACCCTGGGTGACTAGGTCTGGTCCCAGCCCTCATCATCTGGGGCCAGGCCTGCCAGGCCCATGTCCCACCTGGCTTCCAAGCAAACCTCATAGGACAAAGTCTTGCTTCCTACAGAGGATGTGCTATAGTATACCCTGGCTCCTCCCTCTTTTTCAGCTCTCCATCCTGACTCCCTTCTAGCTTGGATTATTTTCAGTGCCACCAAACTGGAGAATCAGCTCCAAGAGTCCATGCTATTTCTTGGCTTCATTTCCCACCTCCACGCTATTCCTATGCCACCCTTCCTCCCTCTCATTTCAGACTTATCATTGGCATCATCCTCTGTAAGCCTCTGGCTCCTCCAGGCTTTCTGAGGTCTCCTGGCCCTGGCTCCCCTGCCCTTACCACAGTTCACATCCCCTTCCCTATTTAGCCCATAAACTCAAATATGTAACACACCAAAGGCTTCCAGACTGAATCCTAGCTTCATCCCATAGTGACAGTCTCTTTCTTCAAATGAACTGATCTGGCTTTTTGGTGGGAGAAAGAGTCTTTTCCTCTGTGTTTTTCTTCTCTAATGTCTTTTCACTGGGGCTGGTCAGACATCTCAGAGCAGGAACCTCATTCTCTTTGTCTGTCCAAGCTAAAACCCAGGTTTGGAGAAAAAGGGTAGGGATGTGTTACTATTGAGGGGGTGAACTTTCTCTATTTTCAGGATGGCTCGCTACTCCCTACCCCTTCAATATGCCAGATGCCTCTCAATCCAGGTACTCCTGTCTTATTCCTTCTGGAGAATAAATCTTGGGGAAAAGCAATCCTTTAATTGTCTGCCAAGATGGGAAGTAGTCTCTTGGCTGCTTGGAGTGGCTGAATATTCTAGACTCCTAAGTAACCCTCCTGTCCTTAGTCTCCTCCTTAATGTCCAATTTCCAGAGACTGCTGGCACAGTCAGTTTCTGGGATCTGGGAGAAAGCCATGGTCAAAGACAGCTGCTTCAGAATTGTAGGTGAGTTAGCCCTTAACCATCTGTTTTGTGGCAATCACCTCCTGTCCTGCTCTTTTTGATTTTATGCTTTTTTAAAAAGTCCCTTTACTGTCCTTTTACACAAAACGACATGTGACGAACCCACCATCTTTCCCAGGTACACTCTTGACTATATCTTACAACAACAATTCTATGACTTAAGTATTACTGTTCCTATTTCACAGGCAAAAAAGGAGATCAGAGGAGTTGTCTGCTGAAAGTTACCCACATAGTACATTACAGAGCTATTAATTTGAATCCACTGTTTGAAATCCATTATTAACATATTAAAGATAGAAAAATTATAGCCTGAGAAGATTATTTACCAAGATGATCAGGCAAGCAAGTGTCAGCACCCAGACTTGAATCCAGGACTATCTAACTTCAAAATCTGCTCTCTCTAGTATATTTTACCGCTCCCTTTTTAATGTCAGTTCAACTCAACTGCTCTACCTGAGCTCAAGAATACATACTTAGGGCTGGGTGTGGTGGCATATGCCTGTCATCCCAGCAACTGGGGAGGCTGAGGCAGGAGAACTGCAAGTTCAAAGCCAGCCTCAGCAATTTAATGAGACCCTGAGCAACTTAGCAAGACCCTGTCTCGAAAAAAAAAATAAATATATATATATATATACACACACACACACATATGCTTAGGGGGCCCAAGAGCTATCTCTGTAAATGCATAGCTTTTGTGCTTCTGTTTTTCTATATTTCTCTTAACCAGTATATTTAGGTTAATTTGGATAACCCCCCTCCCCCCCTCTTTGGGGTTGGACCCAAGCACTCTACCACTGAGCTACATCCCCAGTACTTTATATTTTGAGATAGGGTTTCATTAAGTTGTCAAGGCTGACCTTGAACTTGCAATCCTCCTGCCTCAGCCTCCTCAATAGCTGGGATGACAGGTATGCACTATAGTCTCTGGCTGGATAATACAGCACTGATCTGAGACTGGTGGGTTTGCATCTGTACTCTGCTTTGAACTCACTGCTGCTGAGAAATGCTACTTCACTGCCACATGTTGATGAAAACAGAACAGTCTGCTTTACCCTATGGATATTTTCATTCCAAGTGAAGCCAAATAAAGTGAGGATGCATGTGAGAACAAAGGCTTTGCAGTTTGGTGGAAGAGCATCAGGCCATCACAGCAAGTAAATCCATGCTACCTAAACCTTAAAGAAGCTGGCGCATTAACACTCAAGATTTTCAGGTGGCAAAAGGCAATTCCATTTCAGTAAAATATCAAAGTGCATGTTATGTCCTCTGAATATGTCCCCATCCTTAGGCAACAAGACTGTATGTGAAGTCTTTAGACTAGGGCTCAGCAGTGGAGCACTCGCCTGGCACGTGTGAGGAACTGGGTTCAATCCTCAGCATCACATAAAAACAAAATAAATGTATTGTGTCCACCTACAACTAAAAAAAATACATATTTTTTAGGGCTGGGGTTGTGGGTCAGTGGTAGTGTGCTTGCCTAGCATGTGTGAGGCACTGAGTTCGATTCTCAGCACCACATACAAATAAATAAAATAAAGGTTCATCAACAACTAAAAAAAAATATTTAAAAATACATATTTTTTTAAAAAATGAAGTGCAAAAGAATGACTTAAAAAATAACCTAGGCAAACAGGGGGACAAGAGAGATAATGACGGCATCCTTTGGTACTAAATTAGAACAAAGGATAATGACCGCATCCTTTGGTACTAAATTAGAACAAAGTTAGTACAGGGATCTAATCATTTAGGGCAAGGTATATGTCTTTTTTTCCTATAATGTTTCCTGTGACACTCTTCCTCTCATTTTTTTAAAATTATAGGTTATCCACATTCATATCTTTCCTTCTAATGGTGAGCCCTGTGGAGTTAAAAAGTTGGTCCCTTTTATTGTGTATACTCATAGAATTTGGGGTGAGATGATGTGTATATGTTGAAAACAGGAACCAAATGGGGTAAGGGGTAAGCCTCTCGAATCCAAAAGCCCCAAATCCGAAATGCATCAAAATGCAAAAACTTGGCTGCCTCCATGATGCCACAAGCAGAAAATTCCACACTCGAATTCGTGTGGCAGGTTGCAATCAAAACACAGGTGAACTAAAAAAAATCGTATAAAATTACTTTTTATACTTTTTTTATACTTATATATTATTTTAACTAATATATAATATATATTTATATATTACTTTTGGGAACTTGGGTCCCATCCCCCGCAAATATCTCATGAGGTACATGCAAACATTTCATCATCCTTAAAATATGCAAAGTAGGAAACACTTCTGATCCCTAGCATTTCGGATAAGGGATCTGCAACCTGTATGAACCGTGCTAGGGCTGAGAGCTTAACTTGCTCAAGATGGCAAAGGGGCAAACTTGAGCACCTGGACCCCAGAGCCTGTGCACTGAGTCAATAAGTCGGCTTCTTTCTAAGCCCATCGCTAACTCTGGAGTAACTCTGTGTGTGGTCTCAGCGAAGGCCGCTTCCGGTCCGGGGTCTCGGTTTCCTCATCTCTGGACACAGAGGCCACCCCAGCGCGCCCAGGCCTCTCGCAGCTCTGAACGGGCGAGACCGGAAGCAAGAGGGAGTGCGGGGGGCTCGTCCTCTCCTAGGCCCTTACCATTTGATGATGTTGTGAACCAAAGGCAAAAAGGAGTAGTTCTCCTCCTTCACGCCCGCGGGTGACTGAGGCCGCGGGGCCGGCGACGGCTGCGTCTGGGGCGCAGCGACCGGAGGCGGCGGCTGAGGAGGCGGCAGCGGCTTGGTCTCAGGCAGCTGCGGCTCGGACGGGGGTGGTAACGCATCCTCGGCTTGTCGCCCCGCGGCCACCCCGGCGGAAGCCATAGCGGCGCGGGAGTAACAATCAGTAGGACCACCCCCCCCCCCCCCCCAGGAATCGACCTTCCAAGAGCGTCGCGGACTGTTACGTCACTCTTGTGCACCCGGCCAGGGCGGGGCTCGTAGGGAGGCTCTGAGCGTGCGCACTGGAAACGGGGCGGAGCAAAGGCACGGGGGGTGGGGGCGAGGCAGACTGTTGCTAGGAGGCCGGCGTGGGCGGGTCTGGGGTGGCCTGGATGCGCTTGTGACTCAATAGCTGAATGATTGAAGGAATAATTTAGGGAATAGGAGATGCATTTCAGACATAATGGCCTATAGTCCTATCTATGTGACCAAGTGGGCACAAAAGCAAAAACACAGGAAGCCCAGAAATAAAGGCTCAGCTTGGCCTAGCCCGTGGGTCTCTCCAGGAACCAATTGGAGCTGCAGGGAGAGCTCCTAGGGGAGCATCTAGGTGAGGCCTGGGCTCACACAGATTCCAGAAAGGAAGAACCTAAGTGCCTACACCATGCAAATCTCCGAGAGGAGGAGCAGAAACCTGGGGACCGAACCCTACAGTGCCTGCCCCCATGCAAAGAACAAAGGACGCAGAAGCAAAGAAATTGTGGTCCCTTCCAAGTTCCTCATGGCTGCTGAGAGAGACACTAATAATTCAACTCCGTAAACATTGAGTATGCGCCTGAACCTGCTGGTTGTGGGTGTATGTAGTTGAGGAAGTCTGTCCAGACTTTCAATACAAGGCAGACGTATTCATCCCAAGGAAAAAAATATAACCTGGAAGAAAGGCTGCCTCAGATACTGTCAGTACCTTTGGGCCAGCTCCTTAAGCACTAGGTCCCAGTTGCCCTCCCTCTAAAATCTTATTTAGTCCAGAGACAGGGCAGGGGCTCAACTAAATTCTAGCTTCACATATGTGGTTGACCCTGAGAAGTTTTCTTTGCATGAGAAGCCTCCCTCCTGAGCCCAAGAGGGGGACAGCTGATAGGTTTGGGTTTATTCTTCTCCAAACAAGTATGATATATGGGGGCTGCATTAAAAAAATTGTTGGATGATGAGGACTTGAGCTAGGAAAGCTATCAATTGGAGCCCATCCTTCCTCATCCACCATCATGGAAGGAAAGAGAGATAAGAAACCTTACATTCAGGAAGCAGGGTGAACAGCTGCACTTACATCCAAGATGGATGATTTCAAGGAGGGAATGGATGTAGATACTTTCAGGTGCAGTGGGAGGGGCATGTGGACACACAGATCTTAGGGGAAGTGGACTTTGGAGGTGTGCTGTAGAGATCTTTCATTATGAGCCTCAGCACAGCTTTCTATAGCCAGAGCTGCCCAAAGTGACCCAGAGAGAGAGAGAGAGAAAGAGAGCAAATAAAAGGAGGGGACTTCACGGTTTTTCCTTCTTTCTATCCTTGTTCCCCTTCATGTAAGGGAAGAGTCAAGAGTCCTGGTAGAGAATGGAAGAGAAAAATGCCTGCTGGAATAGGGCCAGATGTGCTCGAATACACCCTTGGAGGCATCTGGAGAATAATGATAGTCTGCCGGGTTTCTGTTCTCGCCACTAAAAGGCCCAGGGGTCACTCCAGTTAAACTGGGCTAACTGAGCTGCACGAAATAACCACACAAGAGACACAATACCTTTTTCTTTGGGGTCGCTGTGACGGCTCCTCTGACCTTAAGGGTCCACAGGAAGAGAGAGAGCACGTGCTGACCCCTTTTATTGAGGAGAAGCTATTAAAATGAGGCAAGGGGTCAGGTTTCAGAGGGCTGAGTATCTTCATGATGTCCACTGTCAGCAGGTTGACTGACACCTGGGTAGGCCACACCCAAGGGCACAGTAAGAGAAGCGGACACACACAAGGCACTTCCATGGAAGATTCTATCCTAAACAGGGCAAGGGGTTATATTACAAAGGAACAGGTGAGCATAGCTTCACCCATGGGGCTGTAGCAAGACACACCATGCACGAGACACCGATCCTCGCACCCAAGAAGGGTGCCACATTTCTGCGACTGACAGCCTCAGCACCCAGCCAGGGAGTGTAACTCAGTCATGTGTAAGGTTGGCCTCCCACAAATGTCATTACCCAAACTACCATGCGATAAAAATATCTTCAAAAATCAAAGTTACAATCACTATCTCATTTAATTCACCAGGGAAGGTGGATGTTAGTATCCCCTTATCATAGATGGGGAAACTGAGGCTTACAATGGTTACAAGACTGGCCACAGGGTCACATGGTTATGAAGCTTGTCTGACACCCCGTGCTTTTTTCTCAACAGACACTTAGGTGACCTCAAATTCCTCCCTCCTCTTCAACTGTGTGATTTGAAATGTTAAAGTGGGGTTTTATTCACCATTTGAGAAGCAATCCAATAGTTATCAATAATATCTCCATGGCAACCACACGTCATCTTTTCCCTCCCAGTGTGTTTTATAACTTAATCACAAGCCCCAACTTTACCATTGACATAATAATGAGAATGTCTCTTAAAAAAAAAACAAAAAACAACAAAACACACAACATAACACTTCAGGTATAAATAGTCATGGCTAAAGAAAAACAAATTGGAAACGTAGGCAGCATGAATAAGTATAGTGCATTGACAATTTGCCCTAAAAATAGTTAATATAATTAGTGGCAAAGAGTAAAGCTAACTTCATAACGTTGCAAGCGGATGTCAGAAAAACACTTGCCTGTGCTGGTTTCATTAAAGCTGAAATTGCTGCAAAAAAATGCGTGTCTGTTTATAGCCGCTCTTTAAAAGTCAAAAAAAAAAAAAAAAAAGCCAGATGCTTCATTGATATGTAAGAATGTACTAGAGATTTCCACCAACTGAAATGATTTGGCCATTGCTTTCTCAGGCGGATTTACACCATTCCTTGTAAGGCTTCGTCCTGTGGAATTAGTGGTTAAAAGGATGGCTCTGAAGCCCACCAGCCTGACTTGGGTCCCAACTCAGCCTCTTTGAAGTTGTGTGATTTTAGACAACACTTTGCGCAGCCCTGCGCGACCTCAGGGAAGGACGGAATGGATTATTACATATTGTAATTGGTAAACTTCATGTATTAGAAGCTTAATCCCCCAAGGTTGAGAGGTGGGACATTTAGGTGGTGATTAGTCACCAGGGATCTGTCCTCATGAATGGATTGATGTTATCACAAGAGTGGATTAGGGATCCAGAGGGTGAGTGTGTTATGAAAGCAAGTTGGGCTTTCTCACCTCTCTCTCATGTGATGCCTCTACCAGGTTATGACAGAGCAAGAAGGGCTTCACCAGATGATCTTGGCCTTCCCAGCCTCTGAAACTGTGAATCATATTAATTTGTGAATTACAGATTACCCAATCTGCAGCATCCTGTTACAGATCGCACACTGGACTAAGAAGCATGTCACCCAGAATAAGTGAGTATCAAGAATCAATGAAGGGCTGGGGTTGTGGCTCAGGGGTACAGCACTCGCCTAGCATGTGCAAAGCCCTGGGTTTGATCCTCAGCACCACATAAATATAAAATAAAGATATTGTGCCCATCTACAACTAAAAATTTTAAAAAAATAACAATCAATGAATATCAATTTATGATCTGTAAATATCAATTTTAATTATTCAGATTTAGGGTTTCCCCCTTCATCAATTAACAAATAGGCCGACAGCCGTTTAAAAAGTACATCTTCAATTAATGAAACTAAAACGTCATCTTAAAGATTATTATTAAACTAGGATATCATTTTAAAAAGAAGGATCTCTTTCCAGTAGAAATACAATATTAGCCATAAAAATGAGCCACAAGCCATGTTTAGTTTTCTAGTGGTCACATTAACAAAATAAAAAAAACAAGAGAAGTTAATTTTAATATTTTAACCCAAATATATTCAAAATATTGTCATTTCAACATGTAATCAACACTCAAAATCATTAACTGATTATTTAACTTTTTCAAACTGTCTCTGAAATCTGATGTGTGTTTTACACTTACAGCAGAGCCATCTCCATTTGAACTAGCCACATTTCAAGTGCTTAGTAACCAAATGTGGCCAGTGGCTACACAACCACTTTGTGAGTTAAAAGAGATCAATACATGTCAACAGGGCTGGGGATGTGGCTCAAGCGGTAGTGCGCTCGCCTGGCATGCACGGGGCGCTGGGTTCGATCCTCAGCACCACATAAAAATAAAAATAAAGATGTTGTGTCTACCAAAAAGTAAATAAAAAAAAAATACATGTCAACACAGGCGTTCACAATTGTAGTGGCAGAAATGGAGAGAAAAAACAAGTGGCCCAAAGGGTACTATTTTAAAGTAATATAACTTACATGTGTTAGCTTTCCATTACTGTAACAAATTACCTGACATAATCAACAGGAGGGAAATTCTTTTTTTTGGCTCACAGTTTTTGAGTTTTCAGTCTCTGGCTGGTTGACCTGTGGCTTTTGGGCCTGTGATGAGGTAGCACATCATGGTAAGAAATGCAAGTATAGCAGAACTGCTCTCCTCATGGCCAGAAAGCCGAAGAGAAGAAGAAAAAAGGACTTATATTTGAAAAAGGAATTAGAGGGTGCATTCTGCATTCATGGGACGGGGGATGGAACACAGAATCGAAATACAACAGGCATAGGAACTTTCTATGTGGTGTTTTCTTTCTTAAGGAAGAAGTGCCTAGGACAATTTTGGACCATTGCTGCACACAGGGGTGAGTGCAAGGGGAATTAGTTACATGGAATCCAGGCTCTGCCCATTCCTGGCTGCATGACCTTGGACAAATTATTTATCCTCTCTGCGCCTCGGTTTCCTCATCTGAAATATAGAGTAATAATAGAACCCACCTCTTAGGGCTGCCCTAAGGATCACTGGTGTGGATGCACATAAGGGCTCTGAACAGGGCCGGGCACCCAGTAAACACGATTTCAGTATTAAACTGCTCCACGGAGAACAAATACAAACACAAGACGACATGCAAGAATCCAGCTTTCAGATGTTCAAAGCGGACCCCACATCACAAATCCCTGAACAGGCTTGTGATTTATTTCTGCTTCGT